ATTGACAAGCGACGCATAGGTCAAGACCACTCTGACGCTTGTGGAGAGTGACATTGCCAACCTGCAAGGAATGGAAGCTGTGAAACAAGGCAAGATTTTCTTAATATTTACTCTGGTCACCGTGTGGTTTGTGAGTCGTTCTCCTGCGCAGAACATACATGAGACAGTCTTCCACTAACATATTAGTTCTGCAGCTCCCTCTCTCCTTCCTCACGTCACTCTTCGCGCTTGATGTAGCATCTTTCCTCACGGCACCTGCCTGGTCGCTGTACGTCATCTGTAAGTGGCCCCTTATTGCTCTATTCCGATACCCAAGCCACGTTGCTGACAGAATGATAGTCGTTGTGCCACTGGTATTTCTATTGGTAGCCATCGCCTACGTTTGGAAGCTGGAGATTGTCCAATACTACTCCAAGATGCAGCGCAACGCCACTAAAGAGTCTCAGGCAACAAACGCAACAATGGCCAAGTCAAGTGCACTGTCCCATCCGTCATTGGGGAGTCTGAGAAGACGAGGGAGAGCTGATGAGGAACATGGAGTGAGCTCGAGCAACGATGTGGGAAAGTGAGAGCGGGGTGAGTTTGATGAGCTGGACTTGAACTTTCACAGCCTGCCATGGGCGCCGTTGCGAACGCATGCAGCATGGAACGCAAAGAAATATGGCCAGTACCGCAACTATGTTTCATGATTTCACCGAATCCAAGCAGCTTCTTTGAAGATTTGTATTCCGATAAATGTGATCATTCTTCATTTCTCACTGGCCGGGGTTGTACTAAGCCGGAATGTATTTGAGGTGGTCTGTCTTGCATCCATAGAAGTACATGACCCCTCCTTTTATGCTGCAGCCTCTGCAGCGGCTCGACAAGCACATATATCCCCGCAGAACTTCTCCTCCACGTTAATGCTGGGGTGAATCTGAGTGTTCCTCCTGGCAGGATATATCTCAGCCCGAGCCTTCTTCTCAGCCTCCCAATGCTTTTCAAGGTTCTTCTTCAGTAGACACTTGAATGCCATGGTGCCAGACTCGCGCTTCGAGTGCAGGGGACCGTTGACAAAAACGTTGGTGACCAGATTCTTCTGGACGCCGTTCATGAGATGGAAGTCCTCGATTTCGATACCCTCGAAGAACTCTCCGGCGCGGTCGAAATGCTCTCGCGGTGAAATCTTGTTCCGATACACCTCGTACTCTGTGGTGACGGTGGTGGGTGTCTTGGGAACGACGCGCATGAGGAACCAGTACGGCGTGGACAGGTTCAGAGATGTGTTGGGGTAGTTGAATGTGAAGGCCCCGTTGCCGAAGAACTGAACGTCATCAGGCTTGATGTCATCCCTGTTAGGCGGGAAGTGTTCCATTCGCCCCTTGTTGGGTCCCTTCGTCTCCACTGAGTAGCGATCGAGATTGGTGATTTTGGTGATGCCAGGGTGGGATGCTTGACAGTGATAGCACTACGCGTATGTATCAGTATGAAAGTCTCTTTGAACGTGTCAGACCAATTGAGAGCATGCACAGCTGTGTTCGCTCACCTCGTTGTAGTTCTCGCCAACCAATTTCCAGTTGTAGTCGCCATTAGTGGTCCAGGTGCGCTCGTAAACATAGTCATCGAGGTTGAAATATTGGAAACGATCTTGCTCGTCGGTACCCTCGTTGAGCTCTTTCCATGGGATGGGGTTGTCTGAAGCATCAAAGTTGACCCGGATGAGACCGAGCTTGTCAATATGAGTGTGGATCGAGAAGAGGCTATAATCTTCCTTGCGAAAGTCATCAACCTCGTCGAACTTAGGAGCCTTTGCAAGCTTGCCAGAGAGACCGTAAGACCAGCCTGCGAAGCCACGATAAGAAGGTGTACCCGGAAGAAAGAGTCTTGTGGAGAAGCTCACCGTGGTAGCCGCAGCTTAGAATGAGCTTCTTGCCCTCACGGCCGTCTTTGTCCACGAGGATGGGGTAGGCACGGTGACGACAGACATTGTGGAATGCGTGAATCTCCCCCTGTCTGTCCTTGATGAGGAAGAAGTCGAAGCCAGCCATCTCAAAGCGAAGAAAGTTTCCTGCCTCTGGTAGGCGAGAGCGATGGGTCATCATCAGCCATTGCTTGGAAAATACGGCTCGCTTCTCGAAGTCGAAGAAGGCCGGCTCACGATACCAGGAGGCTGGCATGTTGCCCTCGGGGATCTTCAGAGGTACGGACATTTTGGATAGTGGATGAGCTGGAATAAGATTTAAGCAGAAGTGAGGTTGGGATGGTTTACAGGTTCAAGTATTTCCTTCGTGTGTTGTTGTGCAAGGAGAGGAAAGAGTTGCTAGGGACGCAAAGCACGGATGGATAGACGATTTTAATAATTCATGAACCTTCATTGATCGAACTCTTCCGAAGGCTGGACTACCGCCACGAGACGCCTTGAAAATACACTACATACGGTAAACCCGCTGATAACCTTCTTCAAATCACGGGGTGAGGGGTAGCGGGAGCTAGGATGAAATTGGACAATAAAGCTCAACCAAGACAGCTCCCCACGCAAGGTATGTGAGGATACATGAGTCCAGAGCATGAACGTATCACCGTAAAAGTTGTCGCGTTGTTTCAACTGACGGCACAACAATGTCAGACATGTTTTCCATATTTGACCATATGAGGACCTACGTTGAGGACGGCGTGTGGTAGCGTCACATAACAGCCGCCTTGCTGTAGTAATGGCTCGGATGTGAGTGTGCAGCTTCGCTGTTTAGAAACACGCCCTCGGTCTCAGGCTTCCTTCCTAATACAGCATTTCGCCTCAGAACCATGGGGATGACTTCTTTATCTCTCGATGGTCTCCCCGCATTTTCTAAAAGCGTCTTAGACCGTCGACATGGCTGATAATTGCAACCTGGCCATTGGCTACTGCAGTTTTACTAGATCCCAGCCAGTCTGACCCCGCATACAGCGCACGACCACTCTGGGATTGGCATTCTTAGCAGCGAACATAGGTGTATCTGCTGTATAACACCAATTGGATCTCTTCAGTCCGTAGTCTATCAACATGAGCTTTCAGACAGAGTGATGGTTATTAAGCAGGGACAATAGAGAAGATATGCTGAAACAAGCCCCTCCCGCGCGATTTAGATAGCTTCATGGTTTAAATCCGTTAGTTTAGACAGACAAATTCCCCAGATGCAACTGGTGTAAACGTGAACTGTTTTCATCCATGTCTCTCCATCTGTGAGATCACCAGCATATACCCGAAGACTGGTGGCGTTCAATTACAACCAGACCTTCATGCTTTCATGTTTGTGTTAGAGAAGAACCAGAATCGTCTTGAGGACGATAATCGGATAGACCAGACGCAGCCTCTTCATGTAGCATGTCCCCAACGACACCATAGCTTATCAAATATCAAGACTGACACCACCAATCCTTCATTTACCTGCTGTGTAAGACGATAAATGCGGTGAAAAGTAACATTGGCTCTGGCCTGTTCTATTTCATCTTCACCAATTCCATTTGTCCATAATGTGGCTGCATGAGTAACGATTGTTATTTCCTGCACCAATCCTGAATGTGTAGGGTGCCCGAGGGTGAGGCAGATCTCACATAATCTTGATTATGACCACCAGAGCTGTGAGAAACAACACCGCAAGTCCACGAAACCACATCGAAGATTCTACATAGCAGTAAGTAACAAGCTGACGTTATTACAGATGCCGTGACATAAGCTAAGGCGCGGCTCAAGCAAAGTACCTCGTGCAATTTATTGCCCAGTTGTGGAAGCTTCACTCGTTGATCGCCCCACCCTCCCGGTCGCAACTTGAAGATGAGTGCTGGAGTTTAGGCCGCTAAATAGGGCGAGTCGCTGGCTCGAATACACGTCCATGAACTACAATAGGTCCCTTATCGGGCGGAGTGAGGCTAGGCCGATCTCTCACGACCCGGCTATGATACATGATAGGGCTTCATCCCAGACATACGCCATTTTGTCGGTGATAAGAAGGCTCGACGCGGGTCTCCTAAACATATGAGCCTGCCCCGCATTCCCATTCGGGTAAGTAAAATGAGACCAGCCCGATAACACTGTGTGACAGCATCTGATTGCACACCACCCATCCTAGTTTCCCCCGCACCAACGGACGGCCCCCGTAGCCAATTGGCGCCGGAAAGCGGAGGCTTCGGGTATCTTGATCCCAGTTGCCAGGCTTCGTTTGAACGTCCGATGTGCAACTCCAAGGTCTACTTACAATCGTGGATCTCCTGTTTACTTCCCGATTTGATGGTGACAGGCTTTGAGCCGCGTTTGTGAGCACAGTAAGCAGCACGCAGAGGCAGAAAGGGACGACACAGTCTAGCTGTGAAGGACATGAGATGGCCCCACGAAAGCGTCCTTACCGCCCAAAAGTCAAAGGTGAGCCAACTTATTTGCCAGCTTCAGCGGTCAATCTTCCTCAAAATTTCGTAGAGCTAGCTTAAACTAAGATAAAATAATGCAGGGTGCTACGAATGCTCGAAACGTCGCGTCTCGTGCGACAGAAGGATACCCCGATGCATGAAGTGCAGCTCTCGGGGCTTGGACTGCAGCGGCACTGATGCAAATGTGAGAGTACGATTTGCCGATGGCGTCAACACACGCGGAAAATGGGCCGGCGAGACCATTGAAAGCCTATGTGAAAAGTATTGGCCTCATTTTCTTCTGCTTCCCAAAATTTGATAGTCAATACGTGCTCATTGCTGTATTTGTCAGGCGAGAAGAGTCGAAGAAGACGAAGGCAACCCAAACCCTATCTTCAGAGCAATATTCTGGAGAGCGAAACTTTGGAGATTTCCATTTGCAAGCGGGATGTTGGAGTCTGCAACCAAGGAGGGGCAATGCATCAACATCTTCGGATATAGGTGACGTGAGCGAAGGTGTTGATGCTCCAAGTCCAGCAAAGGTTTTAAAGTACACCAACACATATGTGGATCCCGTTTTCGATACTGAATCCAGAGGGTCCTTTGACCCATACGAGTTGCATAACTCGTACGAGAAAGAAATGTCATTGAATCGCCGGGACCATGCATCACCACCTGGTCCTCCTTTGATAGGCTTCGTCATTGGCCAAGATGACCAAGCTTTCAGGGGATACCTCATGGACGACATTCCTTCCTGGAAGAGAGAGCTGCTTTTGCACTGTAAGTAATGAAGCCCACTATCATCGCATATTCATAGCTCCAATCCTAAAGCCTTGCTGACTCTGCTGCCCTGAAAAGTCTCTGAACATATTGCTGGCGAGATGGTGGCCATCGATGGAAGTCACAATGGCTGGCGATACATCGTTCTTCCAATGGCCCATGCAGATGAGCTGGTAATGAACGCAGTGCTCGCCGTATCTGCCTTTCATAGAGATGGTATGAACACAGACTGCATTAGGTACTTAGAGACCAACACGAATGGGTTGCGATATTCCTCTCAACAACAGCATATCGGCCAAGAGCCTCCCCATAGTCCACAGGCCCTTTACAACCTAACCATTGACGGCCTGCGGCAGCGAAGCAACCTCGAGGGTTGCAGTTATGAAGCGAACCAAGCTATCTCGGTTGCGGTCCTTGTGCTACTCGTGGCGGCTATGGTGACCGGAACGGAAGATTATTCAACAATCCTCAGCATGTTGCACTCGGCAACCAATGTTCTTGGCGGCGAGCATAAGCTAGGGGCTACTGAACTAGGAGGTTTCCTAGTTCGTCAGGTGCGGAAGTAAGTGCTGTCGCCATTCATCTCCATCTTTGACTTGAGCTCGAATCGTGGCTACAATTCTTCCTCTGATTAACTTGACATAAACTGCGTTTCATACTTGTACAGATCGAACAAGAGCTGACTATGACATCAGAAACAGGGTGTACGCCGCACCATACATCAGCGAGCTGGCAGGGATTGAAACGCTGGCTTCCAAATCCCAGTGGGATCAGTATTTCGACTGTATTAGATATTGCTCTCAAGGTCAGGCTGGAGACTCGTCTATCGTTGCTACTGTCGCTCGCGTGATGCAACAAGCTCACGACATATACTTGCAAGGGGTAACAGGGAGCAATGCAGTCGCGCCAGATGCAAAAGATAAAATTGAGGCGTTCAAGGAGACTCTGGAGCAAATTCCAGAACACGAGCCGGGGACGCACGTTCTAGTCTGGGCAACGTTCCTGGCTGCGGCTGCCAGCTCATTGGAGAGTCATCGGGCCTTCTTTCGAAGATCGTTGCTGAGGCATCATAGCCGCAGCCGATTTGCCAACTTACTCAGAGGCATAAATCATCTACCCCTTATATGGGCAAAGGTAGACCAAGGAGCGAGGTGGACGGAGTTGCTATCTGAAGCGGGGCTATTTCTGATGTGAATAGGCCGTTAGTGCAAGTGGTTGGCATAGAAGACGACTTGCCTGTCAATTCTTTGACGCATCACCGACACAGCCACGCTGAGACTATATAAGTTTTGCTTATGGGCCTTTACGATACATGCAGTCTCAGCGCTGTACCCAATTTGTAGATTGGCAGATTACTAGGGAAGTCCGCGTAATCTACATCTATAAATGAGATATGGTGATGGTTTTCGTGACCAAATACTCATCGATGCCATATTTGGAGCCTTCCTTACCGAAGCCTGACTCTTTCACACCGCCAAATGGCGTAGCAGGGTCACTGATGAGGCCGGTGTTGATTCCCACCATTCCAACTTCCAACTGCTCTGCCACGCGATACACCCTATCGAGATCTCCACTGTAAACATACCCGGCTAACCCTACCCTACAAGAGTTGGCCCTTTGAATGACCTCTTGCTCCGTATCGAAGCTGAATAATGCCGCAACAGGGCCAAAGGTCTCGACTGCCGCAACATCCATAGTGTCTTTTACGCCAGTCAACACCGTTGGGGCATAGAAGGTTTCTCCAAGATGGGGCATAGCCAAACCCCCGGTCAAAACGGTAGCCCCCTTTCCGATAGCATCATCCACGTGCTGGGCCACCTTCTCAACAGCTCGGACGTGTATCAACGCACCATGTGTTACTTCAGCATCGAATCCATGGCCGACCTTGAAACTGCTCTCGACTTTGTCCTTGAGCTTAGTTGCGAACTGCTCATAGACACCACTCTGAACGTAGATTCTGTTCGCGCATACGCAGGTCTGCCCATTACTCCGGAACTTGGCAGCTATGCAGCCGGCTACAGCGGAATCAATGTCCTTAGCGTCATCAAAGACAATGAAGGGTGCATTGCCGCCGAGTTCGAGTGAGAGCTTCTTCATAGTCGAAGAGGCCTGCTTCATCAAGAGCTTTCCGACATCCGTGCTGCCAGTGAAGGAGACCTTCTTCACGGCCGGCGATGTGGTCAGGATGAGACCGATCTTGGGCGTGTTTTCCAAAGCAGTGACAATATTGAAAACTCCGGGCGGCAGACCAGCCCTTTTGCCCAGCTCCGCTACCGCATTGGCCGTGAATGGCGTCTCCCCCGGAGTCTTTAGCACCACTGTGCAGCCTGCTGCAAGGGCTGGAGCAACTTTGCGAGTCACCATAGCCGCCGGGAAGTTCCACTGTTTTTCAAGAGAACGTTATCAGCATGTCTTGCGTCTTGAAAAGTGGTGTTGGAACGTACGGGCGTTATCAGGCCACAAACACCAATTGGCTGCTTGATCCCGTGAACACGCATTCCCTTCGTCGTCGGGACGAAGGTATCGCCATACGATCTTGTAGCTTCTTCAGAGAACCATTCGAGGAAGTTAGCGGCGTATGCTGCCTCGCCCTTGGCGTCCGCAAAAGCCTTCCCGCTTTCCCACGTAATAAGAATGGCAATATCATCGAGATTTTCCACCATCAAATCGTACCACTTCCTTAGGATCTTGGATCTCTGTCGGCCGGTGAGCTGCGAGAATGTGGGAAACGCATTGTCGGCTGCGCGAATGACCGATTCAGCATCTGTCACATCGCACTCGGGACATGTTCCGATCAACTGGCCAGTGGCGGGATCGTGGATTTCGAAAGTCTGACCCGTGGCTGCTTCTGTCCATTGGCCATCGATGTGGCACTTTTGGATGAAAAGAGTACCATCTTTCAACTGCGTCATGGTTAGAATACACGTCTAGAATAAGAGACGGAGACAAATGAAGAGACTCACGGTTGGAACTGTGTGACCCATCTTGCAGGCTGGATCAACAGGAATGATGATGACGAGAAAGTGAAAGTGAAAAGAAGAGAAATGTTTTCGGCCTGCCGTTACGTAGCTGCGACAATAATGTGCTATCTACGAGATTCACGAGTGGGTTCTCAAACCAAGGTCACAAAACCGATAGCCCAGCAGCCTAGCAGGGTGCGCCAGGGTTCCCGACGACTAGCGTAATTCTATTCTCCATGCTTCATGTTGAGTAAATGAACCATGCACATGTTGGGAGACTGGGACTAGCACGTGTCCTTCTGGGAAGAGAAAGTACGAAGAGACCTTGCGGAGACCTCATGGGCTCTTTTGGGATAGAGCTGAGAGACCACCTCAGTTTGGGTTTCCTTCCGAGCATTCAAGGTTCCACCTTTCCAGGGACCGGGCAGATATCGGTGGAGATTCGGAAAACTATCAAACGAATGGGTGGATTGGCATGAGAAATGTTAGGATTCCATTGCCGAAGCTGAGGAAGACACCTTAAGCTGCAGAATGGAGGGGTGACGCGGGGTAACTAAGACACGAAATGCCGTTGTCCAGCTATGCCCCACCATTGATGAGACCGGCCCAGAATTGCTTGGTGGAGAGCCCAAAGGTCTCATTAAACCTTCCCAAAACGGGTTGATGTTGACACGGTCACCATGTTGAGCTTCATGGCATTCAGGCCGGGCAGTCTAGGTACACACCAGAACATGGTTAACTCCTTCATCATTTAATGTGTAAAGAACCACCCAATATGTCTACCACGACCTTCGCTGTCGCCGCTTCTTCCGTACATTCGGTCTACTTCTTCTTCATTGTCATCGAGATCATTTGACTCAACAGATATATCTGCCTCGAAATGTCTGGAGCACTTGAAGGCATCTACCCGCCAGGCGTGGTCAACCCTGGCCTGCCTCGCGCCAACTCGACCAAGCCATACTGGCACGTTAGCCCAAGCGCCTATGCCAACCACAATTCGCCATGGCCTCAAGACCCTGTCGACCTCGTCATCATTGGCACCGGTATTTCCGGCATGACCCTAGCCCGCACTCTATGTGGAAAGAGACCAGACCTGAAGATCGTCGTCCTCGAAGCTAGAACTCTCTGCTCCGGTGCTACCGGCCGCAATGGAGGCCACATCAAGACAATGCTTTTCTCGATGTGGAACGAGCGGAAACACCAGTTCGGAATCGAGGAGGCCATCAAGATCTCTGAATTTGAGCAAAGTCACCTGAACGCCATCGCTGCAGCAACGAAGGAAGACGGTGCAGACTGTGATTTGGTTCTCACCACTGGTGTTGAGGCCTACTACGACCAAGCAGTTTTCGAACAAGACCTCAAGGCACTAGAGGACATTCGCGTGCATGCACATCATCTTGCCGCTCTTCACACCGTTCATACCGATAGAGATGTTCTGCAGCACCAGATGAAGCTATCGAAGCGCTGCATCGGAGCCATCACCATCCCCGCAGGCTCTGTCTGGCCTTACAAGTGGATCGCCAAGGTCTGGGAGAACCTCATCGGAGGAAACAAGGTCAACATGCAGACCAACACAGCTGTGGAGTCCATTGAGGATCGCGATGGAGAGGACTTTGCTACCGTCAAAACGAAGCGCGGCAACATCAAGGCCAAAAAGGTCATCCACGCCACCAACGCCTGGATGGGCTATCTTCTCCCCGAGATGCAGCCCTTCGTCTCTCCAGTCCGTGTAAATGTTGTTCACTGGGCGGCCGACAGCAATGGACAGTCTCCTCTTGGGACAGTTCCGGAGTACTCCGTCTGGTATCGCTATGGACGCAAAGACTACGATTACCTTATCCAACGCGAGGACGGAGGCATCGTCACTGGTCGCGCTTGCACAGGACGTACCGTGACCGGCGATGACACTGTGACTGATCTGGCACCTCACGCACATCTTCGCGGTTTCCCCTTCGAGGCTATTGCAAACCCAAAGGCAGATGCGGCTACGAGCATCGACCACTCCTGGTCCGGTATTGTCAGCTTCACCCAAGACGGCCTTCCGTTCATCGGACCGCTTCCCTTCGCAGGCCGAAGCCATCAGTTCGTCTGTGGTGCCTATCATGCTACTGGTATGGTCAAGGCGTTCCGCTCTTGTCAGGCTGCTGCTTGTATGATATTGGGAAAGGAACTTCCAAAAGACTTCCCTACGTCGTTGTTGTTGACTGAGGAGCGTATAAGAGAGCTTCGAAACTCTCTAGACCGTGGTAACTATCCTTGCTACCGGGCAATTGCTAAGATGTAGGGGAGATAGAACATCAATTATTCCAAAGCATCAGAAGACTACACATTCAATGGAATTGATTAGAGACATTGCCCTGAGTCAGTTCTGGTGCTACTTCAATAACTCCGTTTCAAGCTAGCAGAGCCAACGTTCCACAGTTTATTTTATTTCATGATTATTTCACTGCGAAAGAAGACAACCATTTGTTGTATTTTATTTAATAGGTGGTTGGTGAATGTTACCTATGGAGTAATTTCCTGTACCGCACGAAACAGCCCAGTTATACAGTTTAATCTTGTACCTCAATCCATCTGCTGGAAATGACCTAGGCTCGAAAGACAGG